TATTTTTTTTCCACTACCAAACATAAATCTAAAAATATAGAATACAATTATGTCTTTATTGAATTTGTTATTTTCAAATTTCTATCCTTAATCAAACTTACCCTAATTAATTCAAATTCAAATTTTATACTCCAACTCTTCAAAAAAGACAACTCTCTCTTTGAGGAGCCTTGTCCATGAAGAAAGAGGGAATGGAGGGGAGGGATATGAGGAAGAGAATTAACTTATTATTACTTTCATGTGATATTTTTTATTATTTTATTATTATTTTTTCCCTTGCTTTAGTTTTTGTATACATATACTTGTAACGGTCAAACACGTTCTCTCTTTTTCTTCAACAATGATAAAAAGATGAAAAGACAGTTACAACAATAGTTTCACTTTTATTTTTGTTTTTTTTTAAATAAATTTTCACTTTTAATTTATCTCTACATATAATATTGTATATTTTTGAAATAATCTACTTTAAAAATGTTGAGTCATTCTTTGTTAGTAATTACAAACATTACCATAGTTTAACAGTAAAGTAATTGATATATACTCTTTCTTCTAACGTCGGAATTTCAAACTCTCATATTTTTTATTTATGGTACTAAAGAAACTTTTAATTAATAGTTGTTAACTTTTGCATGACTCAACTAATCAAGATGTCTATATTCGACCAGAAAATCTTGAGTTCAAATCTCCCGCTCCATATATTTACTAAAAAAAACTTTTAATTAATAATTTAAACTTTATAATAAATATTATTCATTTCAAAATTTTGCTAATTAAGTGAAGCCATGACTAATAAATTATTGTTAATATTAATTATTAGGGAGTTTTTTTTTTTGCTTTTGATAAATAATTATATTAGGGAGTTTAACTGTTAAATATGGTTTGATTATATTTCTAAGTGTAGAAAAATGCGTTTAAAAAGTGCAATTAATGAGGAGTGGCGCTACATATTAATTAATAAATTAAAATTTACGTACATGACATTTATACATACATAGCCTACTACGTGACGTGTCTCTCCAAGCCTCCAAAATCAAATATAATATTTAGAAAATAATTTTTATTTTTATTTTTTAATTTTTAAAAGGAAATATTATAAGTTTGTATTGCCATCGGAACCACGCCACATTAATTGCAAATTGAAAAAGTAAATTAATAGTGGTCTCTGCTGGAGATGAGAGGCAAAGCTTGGAATAAATTTTGGTGAAGAAAGCCCAAGTTTCTCGTGATTCCCCTCCCCAAAATTCACCGCCATTTTTATACGACTCTCTACCATCTAAAATAAAGTTTTAATTTTGTATTTATGAAGTTTCAACAGTTAAAATATGGTTAATTTAACATTTATCTTATTATTATTGAATGGCTAAACTTGTCAAAAAAACAATTCGCCACATAATTCGAAAATAACACAACTAATAACATGATAAGTTGATGAAGTTAACTATAGAAATCTATTACATGTAAAATAATTAAAAAAGAAAAAAAAATTAAAGCACACATGGATAGACATAACCTTTAATATTTAAGGATTTATTAAAAAAAATTAAAGCATAAAAATTAAATAAAACTAAGTATAATATGTGGGGGGGATCAAACTCACAATTGGTTTGAGATATATATCTCAATTACTCGCTTTGGTATTAACTTGTAAATTTGTTTAGATAAAAAATAATCTTAAAAATACCGTGTCGAAGTATCAATTTTATAAAAATATCGATAAAATGTTGATTTCAATGGATATTTATAAAAATTATAAATAAAAGAAATCATAAAAGTTACTAAATTTTTTCACACTTTTAAATATGTTAAAATTTCTAATTATTAATGTTATATCTACATTAGTGTTATTTGTTGATATTTTTTTATTATATTTTGATCAAATACTATGAAAATGTCGCGAAATGTACTTTTTATACTAATGTCCAATTCATAAACATATAAAAAGTATCATAGAAATATCGGTATATGGAGAAAATTTTAATTGCTTACTGTTCATTTCCCTCTTCCATCGTCCAACTAGTGTGTAATGATATCCACTTGTTTTGTCTCACTGTGTTTCTTTAAGTCAACAATGGTAGACAGATTAGGACATATTTCAAATATGCATATGATGGGTTTCAAATTGGCTACGCGTTTAGATGAATAGTGGCCAACTTAAAATATATAAACATATTGATCAGATTCACCACTTGTTCATTTTCATACATATCTTATCTTTTAAAAACAATTTAACCTTTTTATGCGTTTCAAATTTATGAGCAGTAATTTCAACCATTTAAAGTAGGAGGCTGATCTACAAAATTTGATTATGCAACACATGTCGGTCAATGTCGACTTGATCGAGGTACATGGACGAGAAGAGTTGAGATATGAGGAATAACCTAGAAGAGCTGCTTGGCAATAGAGGATCTGCACAAAGTAACAAACACCCTCCTGACACCCAAGTTATTTTAGTTCAACCTTAGTAGGAGAGTCGGACTAGAATACGATACCCAATCACTGAAGAGAGAAGTGTCCTATTTATAAGTTTGAGTACGCGACAGAGAATCCAACCAACAATTGATGGGTTGAAGGTTGGCCTATGAGGTGCACACGATCTAGGTAGGTAGACTTCCATCTGGTTTTGGTGTCTTCCAATCCAGTATTTGACCAAGTGTTCAATGAACATCAAAACATAGCTACTCGTTCGTCCATTCTCTGTCCTCCATGTGGCAGTGTCGTTTGACACCTCCAACAAAGTTAAAAACAAAATTCGAAGATAAAAGGTAAAAAGTTGTGTTCTTTTGGGAAAAGGTTAGTTGTTTGCCATAATGCAACAAACGGTTACATTATAAGATAAAGAAGAACCATATAAGATAAAGAAGAACCGTTGTAATTAGGGTAACTACTATAACAATTTTACTATATGATTCCAACAGTTGCGTAAACTGTTATAAGAAATCCTCTCAATAGAATTTCTGCTCACGTTTGTTGAACGGCTGTTCGTAATAGTTCAAAACATTTGCTACAACAAATCTTTATTTTGTATAGATCGCTAAACATACTCTCTCTCATTTTTAGAAATGACAAGTATATATAGTTAAAATGTAAAATTTTATTTCTCCTCGGCACTTTAATTAATTGTAGTAACTAACATATATACGCCAGTTTAATAATGAGGGGTATGTGAGAAAAAGTAAAGGAACTTAAAAAGAAAAATGAGTTCAAACCCCAAATTGAACGTTGGATTCTTAACATATCCCCTCAAAATTGGGTGCTCGTTTGAGCGTTTTATGCTCTGATGCCGTATTAATATTCATTAGATTTCGTCTCAAAATCAATTGGTAATGAGAAGAATAGCACATGTTTATTATGAACAGCTCCTTAACAGAAATACACTTTCTTGTTGCTATTTATTGAATTTATAAAGCTTTCTCTCATTTTATTTTATTTCTAGCACAGACGATAAATTTTATGGGTTTTATTATTAATCTAAAGGAATGGTTAAACTATGGCTCGTTTGGTAACATTGTCGTTTTTTGTTTCTTGTTTCCAATTTTCTTAAGAAAGCGAAGTATTTTTCAACTAATTTTGTTTCTTGTTTCTCCTTTTTTAGGAACATTCTCGCAATTATATAGAAATTTTGGAAACGACCAAAACTAGTTTCTCTTCTCTTGTTCCCATTTTTAATTTGTTCCAAAACATAAATAAAAAAAATGTTTTATCATACTTAAATTCTTAAAGGTTGGAATCATGCAATATTTTTTTTTTCATTAAAAATAAAGAAACAGAAACAAGAAACAGGAACGTTAGCAAACGTATAAATTTTTACTATCTGTATATATTTTATTAAATATCTAATGTGTCTCTCGATTTTGAAAATAGCTTATAAATGTCAACGAATTTTAAAACGTCACCAGTAAATTTATAAGTATTTATCTTGTATCTAATACATCGTTGTTTTTAAATATTTTTTAAAATTTTATGAACCTACAAAAATGATCGCAGAGTAAAAAGAAAAAAGAAAAAAAAAACTGAAATGAAATGGAAAGTAGGGGATGAAGTGAGAGGAGAGAATGGATAAAATGGATAACGCCTCTTCACACGTGGCGAACATGCAACTTCAACAAACATGCAATGAGTGAGTGAAACCAAAGCTGGCTGGAAAATGATATAATAATCAACCCATGTGCTATGCCAAGACAATTTTTCAAACCTAACCTCAAAACGGCAGCGTTTCGCCTATTACGGGACCACACCTTTACCCTATCTCGATTGGGCCGGCCCAGCCCAACTCAATTCCTCAAATTATATTCGTTTTTTAAGTTTTTAACGATTTCTAGATGTGTTAATAGACTGAACGATACTCTAATTGCCTTATCAAATTATATTAACATCTTGATTAAATTTTAGAATTTTTTCTAGTACTTTTAGGGCTAAATCTATTTTAGTTCTTTTTTTCTTTTTTGAGCTCGACCATTCTAAAGCGAAGGATATCGAACCATGAATGTTTAAAATAGTAATAAAGACGTTCAAACTTTAAAAAGTTGTAATTACATCGCGAGTTTTCAGCTTTTATCTCTGAAAATTTTTTATTGTGAATTTTGTTAGTTTAACATTTATTAGGACATTATATTAATTAAACTGTTAAAGATAGCTCGACATGCATGTGTGTCAAGACTAGATTTTGGTGTTTATTGCAAATGAAAGTGGCTTTATAACCATAGTTGGATTTTGCTGCAATATTAGCCCACCTACCTACTGAAGAATTTGAGTCTATAGCTCGAAACAAAATCTTAAGAAATCTAAAGAAATTTTGGTTTAGGTTTAGGTTTGTTATTTCTGTAGAAATTTTGGATTTCTATTTTTTGTTCTTATTTTCAATCTGTCTCAAAACATAAATAAAAATATTGTTTTATCATTCTTATATGATGTAATTATATTTTTCTTTATTAAAAAAGAAATTAAAACGAAAAACGACAATATTATCGAAGAGTTTCTTAAAAAATATAAATTACACAAAATTATAAAAATTTAAGAGACTAATTTTAGCTGATTTATTTAAATGTTTGGTATCTACACGTGGCGTTTGTCTAGGGGAGGGAAGGGAAATCGAGGTTTTTGAAGCAGGTGAAGGCGCCGTCGACCACCAAATTGTGACCAGTGATGTATTTGGCGTCGTCGGAGGCCAAAAACAGAGCCGCTCTCGCCACGTCGATCTCCTCGCATTTTGCGCCCTTCAGTACCCCAAGCCCATTTATTATTCCAATTATCTCTTCTCTTTTAACGCCTCTGTACATTTCTCCGATCCCGCTCACCGCCATCTCCGTCGCCACCGGCGCCGGCGATATGCAGTTCACCCGGACCCCGCTCCGGCACAGCTCGCTCGCCGCCGATCTCACTATTCCCGGGATCGCGTGTTTGGATATGGAATACGGATGTGGGCCCAGCCCGCCCAAAAGCCCACTTATGCTGGATGTGCAGAGGATGGACCCGGACCCGGCCGGGACCATCACTCGGGCCGCGTGCTTTATTCCGGCCACCACTCCCCGGACGTTCACGCTCATGACTCGGTCGAACTCGCCGAGGTCGAGATCGGCGATGCTCGGAGGGACCGCCGCCCCGGTTATTCCGGCGTTGTTGTGCAGAATGTCCAGCTTCCCGTGGTGGGCCACGGCGAAGTTCACGGCGGCTGCAACTTCCGACTCCTTCGCCACGTCGCATTGCACGAACCTCGCGGCGGGGCCCAGCTCCTCCGCCACCTGTGGGCCCCGCTCGAGGTCAATGTCGGCAATGATGACGTGGGCCCCGTGGTCGACAAACTCTTGGGCTGTTGCCCGGCCCAGCCCATTTGCTGCCCCGGTTATCAGTGCTACTTTGCCTTCCAGCCTGATTCCAATTCCGACAAAAAATTACAAAATTAAACAAATTTTATTTTTAAATTTGACTAAAAATTTATATATATTTATAGTAAAAGTAGAAACATTCGAAAAAATTATGACGAAGCAAATATAATTTCCTAAAACATAAAACTACCACAGAAATCATTATTGAACTTTTAAGTGGCATGAAATTTAGTAACTATGAAAAAAAAATTAAGATATTTTCATTCAGTTATATTATAATTTAATGAATTTCATATTTAGTATTAGACCGGTTCCCTTTTATCTTTTCTTTTTTCGGATACTTTATCACAAATCTACGTATATTGGTAAATGTTGTAATTAATTGTAGTACTCATTTTCATGTAATTTTCCAGCTTATAATTAAATATTTATTGCATTAAACCGAAAAAGAATGTGTGACAGAAAAGACAGCTGCAGAAAGCGAAGTAGGTAAGTCACTCATGGATTCCTAGTGAGTTTATTACATGTCTATTCAGCAATATTCACACATAATTATCGTCACCAAACAAAGAGCACTTTTTTTTTTCACTTTCTTTATTATGTTTGACTTTAAATATGAATTTTAATTAATTGAATTATATTTAAACCGAGAAACAAGAAGTAGTTCTTGACATCAAATTTCTCGAACATAGTAGGAAGGATGGAGGCATGAAATGAATATTTTGTTTTTTAATGTGTATCTAATAAATTTTTAAACTTTATAGAATGTGCGATGGATCTCTAAATTTAAATTAGAATTTAATAAGTTTACGATTTATACAAGTATCTAATAGATCACCGTTTCTTATATTGTTAAAATATTCATGCACTTATTAGACACAAGATTCATACATTTACTAATTTTGTGTCTAATTTATCTACGAATTTTTTATTAGACACTTTAAAAGTTCAATAACGCATAAATTTAAATATTAAAAAAATTATTAAACACTTTGGATTAATTTATAATTTAACTTCTTTTTTCTTGTTGCAGACTGTTATTTTTCACAAAAAAAAAACCATGTATGGTTCTTCGTTTGACTTATTTAAAGTTATTTTTAGATTTTTATTTTTTATTTTTTTTTTCAAAGTTTTTTAATTTTATTTTTACAAATGACTTATTCTTCAGAAGAATGAAGCTATTATTACTTATAATTATTTTATTTTTGAATTCATGAAGTTAATTTTCTTATACAAGTTATGTTTACGTATTTCAAATACTCAACAATTTTAACGTAATATAATTAAAGCTAATAACAAAAACCCTCAATCGAAAGAAAAACAAATAACCCTAATTATAGTGCTTAAAAACAATTACGAAGACAATAATAGTAGAACAATGATCTCTAAACAGTTTTCCTAATAAGCCGGAAATTTTTATTATTTATTTTTAATGTACACCTGAATTTTGTTTATGACAGTTTTTAAAATTTTGTATCAAAGCTTTAAAAATATTTTAATATCCTAGTCAATCAAGTAGTTAACAGTTACTGCTAAGGGATTATTTGGTAGTTAATTGTTTTTTTTAATCCTATTTTTAAGGATAAATAATATTTAAAATTATGTTTGGATAATGGTATAGTTATTTTTAGATTGATAATGTGTATGTGTATTTCTTTTAAGAAAAGGATAATATTCATTGGATGACAAATATATATATTTATTTATTTATTTATTTAAAAATTTCAATATTTTTTTTTCTAAAAAATTTCACAAATTTGACTTTTTCTTTTTTTTTATAAATCCAATTATACTATTTGCGTACAATTGTAAACTTGCTGTTATAGCCATTTCCATAATTGGCTCGAAAATATTTTCTTTTAAGCCATCAGAAAGGACCTACTTTTTCCAGAATGAAACTGCATCCTCAGTCCACCCAGAAGCCAAAATCACGTCTTTAAAAATAGTCATCTCAACATCCATAATAATATTAATAATTTATTCAATCAAATTTTTTAAAGACAAAAATTATTTTTAGAACAGTTTCTTGAACAACCAAGGCTTTTGTTCAATATATATGACTCCCATTCCTTTCCTAGTTTCAGAAAATATTTTCTTCTCCTCCAATAATTATTAAATATTAGCCCATTTTTTAAAAACCATCATAATCACTTCTATCACCTCCTCAAATTGGTATATCATTATCTGTTTCAGAGCCATGGTAGAACAAATGATTTTGAAAAAAATTAATTGATTTTTTCCAAAATCACCCTCCAAATCACATTTAAAAATCAATTTAAGTGATTAAAATTTTTTTTAATATTAATTTTCTAATTTACTAAATATGATATTGACTCTACCAAAACACTACTTCCAAATATGTCTTTAGAATATATTTGGGAGCGGCGATATTTTAAAGCGCTAGTGGCAGTACTTTAGGGAAAAAAAATTTAGTTAGGAAAATATATTATTCAACTAGAAGATTTATCGAAGCCATTAAAGTAAACTATTATAATTGTTTAAAAAAGGAAAAAAAAAGTAAGCTATTAGAATCTTCTTTACAAAAAAAAATAATAAATAAATAAAAGAAATAATAATAAAATAAAAATCAGATGAATCCAAAATGCAAATGCAAAGGAGAAAGCCTGTAATTCTATTTATTATTTATCTTTCGAATTGAATTGGGCGACGAATCGATGAAGATGAAGAAGAAGAAGAAGAATCGAGAATTACCTTCTACTGCTGCAACCTGAAGAAAACGACCTCACGCGGCGGCCTCTGCCTCCGAAGAGATCGTAGCCGATAATCTTGATCTCTCTGTAAATCAGGTCAGGAAAAATCAACGATCACGATCGTACGTTTTCAAATCACAGGGAAAATTCAATCAGTCAATCTCAGAGTACAGTAGAGTACAGACCTGGCCAAGGATCTGAGCATGTCGTCGGAAATCGGACGGCGGCGACGTCGAGTAGATGCGGCGGTGGCCGGATCGGATCTCGGCTCTCAAGTTAAAAATAAAAAAAATAAAAAAAGGAGTGAGGCAGATGGAAAAAGAGAATTATTCGGAGTATTTATTTATGGGAGAAGGAAGGAAATATCTGTGCAGTTGTAATCAACACGGATTTTCATGCACTCACACATCAAAAAAACAGAGAGAGAGAGAGAGAGAGAGAGAAATTGAAGTTGAAAGTGAAGAGAACATGGGTTATGTTATGCTATGCTATACAATACAACAGCCTCTCATCTGTCCTATTTAATGAATAGTGCCTCCCCAATCTTTTACATAATTTTTAATTTGAGCTTTAAATTTTTAAAATTTCTCTCCCACGTTAGATTTTGCTAATAGATGGGGTTGAATTTTGAGTATCATGTGTGTCTATATATTTAAATAAATAACACACATATTTTAATTTTATTAATTTAATGCATTTGAGTAGGTAAAATCGTACTTAATATGTGAAGGTGGAGATTTACCTATTAATGGACTAATTATTTGTAGCTATGAGATGATATCATCAGTGAAATTATTCTAGTGAAAGTCGAATCATATGCCTTCTGCAGGTCCCCTTATAAAGAGCACATCGCATAGGCTTGAAAGTTAAAATCCTTGAGTTCCATTGGAGTAACATATAGGAGAAGACAAAGAAATGTTCTAGAGCCTTACAAAAGTCATCGATTAAAAAAGTAATATATATTATATAATTATTGTTAATATTTCATTTTCAGTGGGGATTTGGTGCTCGATCCCCAGTTAATTTCTTAATATTAATGGACCAGCTTGCTCTGGAAAGCGGTTTATTATTATTATTATTTTGCTTTTTATGGGAAAACATGAAACATAAAAAAGGACTGTACTGTAAAATCAGAAATGTGTTGGGTTTATTTGTAAGGGAATGCATAAAGTTTTATAATAAGGACAAAATATTTATTTAATTATAAAGTATGTGTACGTACAAAATTATGGTGTTTCCTGCCTGAATTCAAGGAGAAAATCCCATTTATTTATAACATTTTTTACCATAAAATAATACATTTGTCAACTTTGGGAAGGGCATCTCTCTCTCTCCTCTCATATTCTTATGGCCATATTTGTTCATTTTTCCTTTTTTTTTTTTTTTCTTTTTTGGTGGGGAAGGCATCATCTATTATTGGTTTATTCCAAATTCTTGTGGATAAAATTTCCTTTTTTCTTAAAAGGTGAAATTACATTTTATATTTTAGATCGGACATCCAACCTCCAACTTTTAGAAAATGATTTAATCTCTTCATCGCAGACCCGGTTTGTTTAACAAATTTCAGTCAGGGTCGACCGATCGAAGTAGGCTAACTGAAAGAACTTGGACATTCGAAAATATGTTTTATTAAATTGCATTCAGTTTGAGCAGTGTGATGAAAATTTTGATAAACAATAGTACGTGTATTAAAAAATGTAGGTCTTCTTCAATCAAGTTCTCAAACCAATCACAGAATTTCAAAAGACCAAACTATTGAATCTCAAACTATTTTTGGCAGAACCTTCCGAGATTTTAGAGAAAAACCACGCTGCATTTTGCGAGATTTTGAGACTTATTGTTTCAAAGCGGCGAAAACCCTCATGAAATTCTTAGGACGCTTGGATGCCTAATCTATGTAGAGTAGACGCTTTATTTAGCAATAGGAGATACCCCTCCATAACTTCCTGAAGTATTTCCCATACAATGAGTTTTTTTCCTGATTTTTATTCTAAGAAACTTCTATGTTAGAAGCAAAATGTTGTCAAATTAGATCACAAATTAAAAATGTTTGGAAAAGCTCTATTACGATTTCATGAGGCAATCCACATCGATGTGATGATAGAAAATCGCTGGGTAAGGAATGACTTACACAAATGAACAAACACTTCGACGTCYAAGTCAATTTGAGTTTGAACTAGAATGCGATACCTATGTGGAAGTGAGGCTCCCTATTTATAAGTTTGGATATCCGACAAGAAATCTAATTGGCAGTTGGACATGTCGAGCTGAAAGTCTGCCTCGAGCATTCGGGACAGACCTGGCGGTTGGCCGATTCTCTATTCTCCATGTGGCAATGTCATTTGGCGCTTCCAACATACCAGTTACGTACAATTGGCTATCATAAAGCCAACCAAATGTAAAACACAAATTTAACGTCGGCATATAAACAGAAAATATCGCTTGACAAAGATGATTTATGAAGTTTAACCAAATTATTGAGATTATTGAAATTTTCAAAAATATAACAACCCAATTGAAAATAAATCTAAATTATACATACCAAAATAAATATTAATCTCAAATAACTATAAGAATGAAATTAGGAGTGTAACCTATTTTTAATGAGAGAACACGTGGGGAGGGATTATAAAAAATATAATGCGTCCAAATCAAGCGTGCTAATAATTAGATATAGGTTGGGTGACAAAAACGTCACCAAGCTAAGCTACTATTATATGTATGCAATAGTTAATAATAGCCTTTGCAAAAAAAATAATAATAGTATTAATAATAATTAATAATAGATAATCATAAAAAGAAGGACATGAACTTACAGATAAAATCCAGCTGTAGCACAGTTGAAATTTGAATCAATGTGCTCCACAATAAATATCCTCATATTTAATTAATATGTATATATAATGTGGATTCGCATCGCATGCATCTTCCTCTTTTTTTTCGATCGACCGTTTGTATTTAAAAATAATTTAAATCAAAATTACTGTATTAGAGTGGTTAATTGCGCTAATTAACAAGGGGAAAGGAAAGCTTAATTGTTATACATATAAAACAAGGAGTTTAATTATTTAAACGGGTGTTTTTTTAATTCAAGTTTGAATTTATATAATTTATATGTTTAAATTGTGCAAAAGAATGAATTTTAGAAATATACATTTTATGATTAATATTTAATATATGTAAATATATGAAATGCGAAATATAGTTAAACAGCTAAGATATTCTTGATATAAAAGTAAAAGCAACATCTCTATTGAATGAAATTTTTTTTTTTGGTAGAATCCAAAAGTAAGATCATGCAATCTTAAAAATATTTTGCACGAATATTTATACATTTTGATTTTTTTTCACCGTTATCATTCTATTGGTTATGGTATTCATAAATCTCTACTTTTTTCTATATTTACCAAACAGTTGTAATAGTTGCGGGTTTATTGTCAACCTGAACATTACTCAGTAATTGACACCTTATCCCTTACAATGAGATTGAAGGTTTAAACTCTCATACCTCTCGTTTGTCGTACCAAAATAATAATAATAATAATTATTAGACTTGTTTTATCATATGTATGCAAGTGCCCTACATATATATTTATGTATTGTCTCGTCAACTCTCGCTAGTAAACATATGGAAAGTTCTAAAGTTTATTTTAGTTCAACAATAATATGTGAGGGTAAGAATTTGAACATTTTAGTCGAGTATATATGTTATAGCCAGTTTGTTGTGCTCGAATTTGGCAAAATCTCTAAAGTTGATAACTCAAATTAGAAAAAAAAAAAAAGAATTGAATTCAAAGTTGAATTAGGGTTATTTGAAAATGGTGGTCCAAAGCCTAGAGAAAACATAGTCAACCTTGTTGTTGAGTGTGTGGAAATGGGCAAATTCCATTATGTTGGTGTGTAGTCTATTAGCTAGATATCAATACCTTAGCTTATTCTTTTTGCTTGGGACTAAGCATTATTCCACTTGCCATTCCTATTGTACAACAATAATTCATCCAAAATACCTTCTTTTATATATATATATATATATATATATATATATATATATATGTGGTCCCCAAAATTCTTTATATATTCACACATAAAGGGCCTGTTTCTGTTCCAAGAATTACATGTTTTTTGATTCCCCATCCCCATGTCATTGAATATATAAAAATTCAGTTTAAAGTTACAAGAATTTAGTTCTAGTTTGGTCGATATGATTTCAAAATTTTCAATTTAATTCCTACAAATGGACTATCTTTCGATTTGGTCCCTATGATTTTAAAAGTTTTAGTTCAATCACTATATTTTCAAAGTTTAAGTAAATAAATCGGTGAAACATCACAAGTCATCTTATCGTCCCTATTACCAAAAATCATTATTATATATTGAACATGTGCAGCGTGACACTTATTTTATGTGATAATGAGCAGCTTGTATTTTCTATTTTGCCAACTTTGTGAGCTTAATTACTATATTGTAGTTCATGGTCAAATAAAAAATAAAAGAAAAGAAGTGGGTTTTGGGAGGGTTAATTTGTGAAAATAGAAACAAATTTTAAACTTTTAGAATTATAGGCACCCTCAATTTAAATAGAGCCCAGATTAAAGGAACTAAATTGAATCTTATAGAATTATTGGGACAAAAATGAAACTAAGTCCACTTCAAATCATAGGGATCGGATCAAATTAATAATATTTAACCTAATTAAAAAAACAGTTTTCAAACATCATAATTTTTTTTTTTTTTTGAAATTTCAACAGTTATTTTTAAGTGAAGACTAAATAATGAAATGGGTATTTGAAAATTTAGAAACAAAAATATCATCAAACAATAAATCTAGTAAAAATAAGATCATATAGAGAGAGAGAGAGAGAGAGAGAGAGAGAGAGAAGTAATTAATAATAAGAAGTTGGGAGAAAGAAAGGGAGCAAAAGTTGGATGGCCATCGATCTCTAATCTCAAATATGTATGAGATTTGCCATATGCATATATAGATTTTAGATCTCCACCTCACATTATTTACTATGTTATATTGTTATTCCTTGAAAAAATTATAGACTTAATATATAAAATAAAATATAACATCCGTCAAAGAAAGCCTAACTGATCAACGGTAATTGGTATATATCTCCAACCAAGTGGTTGTGAGTTCGATCCCCGATCCCTACTTGTTGTACTAAAAAAATAAAAAACAAAATACAACATTCAAAACAAAAACGGTACACATATTATATTTATCATCGGTTGAATTTAAACATCTCTTTGAATTATAATGTTTACAACAACAAAGGTATAATTAAAAATGTTAAAACAGAAGTGATATAATTGAAACTTTTGAAATAATAGAAACTAAATTGTAAAAACATCAAAATATTAGCGACTAAAACAAATCTATTTAGCCTAAAACTTATTAAAATATTAGCTTATGATATAGGAATGAAATCCTTGAACTAGAAATTTTTCTTGAGGGCTAGAACTGTATTAATTAGGAGTATTCTTTCCA